CCCCCCCCCCCCCCGCACCACCGTCGCAAGCCCGTCACAAGCGTAAACCCCCCATTGTATATTACGTCATAAAATGAACCATCCCCCTGTAGTGATTGTGGTGGTTGGGAGAGACTTCAATCACTAACATAAACGAAGTAGATAAACTCCAGAAGATATTGTTTATAATGTTTATTATAGTCTCATGGGCAAGTCAAACGAATTTTCATTAAAATGAGTGAAGGGTCATTTGAAAATCCTGGTACGAACAGATGTTGTTGATCAATGAACGCTGCATCGTTCCATTCTTCATCTTCGTCGTCTTCAATATTACATGTGACTACCAAAACTTCCCTTTGACGGTTGACGGCAATTCGCACAGAATGCACATTTGGAATAAGTGCCATGACACCATAGTGTCGCTGCTGCATAATAAACCTCACATTTTTAGCTTTCTTTCTAGGTTGATGTCCTGTTTTCGTTCGTATTAGGGACGGATGAAAAATAGTACCTTTCATCACTAGGCCGAAAGAAATTTTTCTGGCGAATATGAGTTTGCAACACGAGCCGACGGGAAGGACTGCAATTATATGAGCTAGAAAAGTTTTTTCCGATCGGGTAACGAACATTATTTTGCATTCCTGAAGTTTAAAACTAAAAAGAAAAATAATATAGTGTGTGACGAAATTCCAGGCGAATTCTTCAACTGCTGAACTCCAGGGTATTCATGTAGAAAATGAGAGACAGAAACAGAGACAGAGAGAGAGACAGAGGGAGAGGGAGAGAGAGTGAATCGATTCCCTAAATTTTTAGAATAATATTCATTAATTAAATTCATTAAATAAACCAGATATTTTACAGATATTTTGTCAACTTCAGTTTTGTTGAGTTAGAGTTTAGTATTTTTGGGATTTTTCGACATAAATTCGGTTAACGATCAGGCTATCACCGTGGAATATTTGGCCAAGATAATGTGCTACCCAGTGTTCCTGCAACCCTTTTGAAATGCTTGCGCTCCCTTGCGCAAGAGTGTTAGGGTTTTCAGTTGGAAGGCCGTGGAGACAATCACCCAGTTGTCAAAACGGATCGCCATTAGGTGTTTAGTTTTAGTTTTAGTGTGCGTTTTCGTTGGTAAAGTCCTAATTCCTCTTCGGAGAGCGCCCTCTGTAGATAAGCTACCTTATTTCAGTCGTAGGTAGAGCAAAGAACCGCTCCAATATCTCAGGTTAGTTCGAGTTTAAGTAATTACGGTTTTGTTCAGTTAAAATAATTTAGATTAATATTTCACGAAAATTCCAATTCAAATATTTAATTATTTCGCGCCCAATTACCCCGGGAATCGATTGTACGCATCTCCGACACTCGAGTCAGCACCGTACGGGGGTTGTCTCCCCCAGACTCCCCACCACTATGCGCCAGGCCCGAGCGGACACACGCAATAGTCGCCATTACAGTATCCACCCAGACTACCACGTGTGAGGTACCCCTCAACGTAGCTCTCTTAAAAAGTTTATTTCTGAAGTAATTGTAAAGTAAAATAAAGTAATTGTAAAGTAAAATATCCTCTACATCGACGCTCCAGACTATGGTAAGTACCTGTGTACTCATTTACAAGTGGTTCCAAGTGATTTAGTGCGGCTCGGGAAATGGCATCGCTACCTTACCAGACGAACCCAATGCTACCTTTCAGCGACCTGGAGTTTATCAAGGAGAATTTATGCTACCTAGAATAATTAAGTTTAATGAAAATTTAATCATTTATGCGTCTCGCTCAGGCGATTGATGCTCAATGCTACCTCTTGCTGGCTACCTTTCGCGTAATTCCGTGATGCTACCTATTTTTTGTGATTTTTTCCAACTCACTAGGGTTTATGATAAACATGTGCTATCTAAAATACGTTTTGGCTACCTTTCACGCGCTTTATAATAATTTTACCGTTCGAGTTTGTGGAATTCCAGTTGGGCATGGGGACGCTATCTTTCTGTTACCTTCAATTTTTCATGGTTGAAATCCACAATACTAAAATTATTTAGGCTCTCTTGCGTTAATGAATAAGCTACCTATTATTTTATAAATCGGTTGACACCAGAAGCTACCTATTTTGACGGAGAGAACTCCATTTCCGGTTTAGAAACGCTCCCTTCCGGTAAATCAGCCACGTGGCTAATTCAAGCTGTCTAGCTCATTCTGCTATCTTTTCGGTGGATAATATCCCCGATTTTAATACATTACAAATGGCGAACTATCCGAGGATTATCATAAAAGCTCGCTAGAATCGAAAATCCGAATAATTATCGTTCGAGAATTTAAAAATGCTTCGATTTTCCCCAGCTCTCTCGATTTCACGTAGCTACCTAGTTCGTTTTCTCTTGCACTCATGCTACCTCCACGCGTCCTCTCTCTTGGATTCGTGTTCACCTCGTGGACAAGACTTTTGCTTCTGCCCATCAGCTTTGGGTTGGGATCGCTTTCCTTTTCATATTAAAAATTACAATCTGCATGTTTTCGAGTCTTTTGGATTTTTATGAATTAGTTTAGAGTATTTAACATTATTTTGAGTCACATTGACGTAATTGTGTATTTGCAAGAATTTACGATTTTGTATTAATTTTGGTAATAGCGGAACACGTCAGTACAATTATTTTTTATTATTGAATGTCGACTTATACCTATCCCGTTTAGAATTTAAGACATTGGTTTGTCGGTTTCTCGATCGATGATTGGCGTTGTTAGTTGATGTTCTCATCCACGAATCTACCCCTCTCTCCACGACCCGCACACTGAGCAACCGAGTAAATCTCGTACCTTCGTAATCCACATTTCTGCGTATGGTTTTCGTTATGTTTCTTGTTGTTATTGGATTTTTGGGGACAATCAGTATTTAGTTTTAAGAAAATACGGTTCCGTTTGCGGTTCGTTGATTCCGCGTTGTTAAAAATCGGCTGGCGCCCTAAATCTTCGAAGTAAGGATTGGATGAGCTGCTGATTGTTCCTGGAGTCCAGTTTTAGCGTTATGGTTTTTGGCGTTTCAGATTTGTCGGATTGCGAGAACGAAGGTAATGATTTGGCCGTGTTTGGATAATCGAGCATTTTTTGGGTTAGGGTTTTATTGTGTATTTGTTGAGGCCAAAGAAAAATCATTACAGGTGTGACATCACAATCTAAGCAACACCCCCTCCCCCCTCCGGCACAGTCGTCACGAAATGCAGACCCACTCTGCATCGCGTGACATAATATTTGAACACTTCCATAAGATGAAATATCTGCAGTAGACAAGAAATTTTCTCATTCCCATCAAAGCTAGAATATTTGTTATAACGACGATGGGAAATTTTCTTGAATAAAACTTCCTTTTTTTATTCAAAAATTCATTCTTCTATATATGTGATCTGTGAGACGGTGTTCTCATTGACGAGGAAAAAATATCATTTTCCCAAAACAAAATTATTCCCCTAGAGATTATTTAGCTTTGTCAATAACGAAATTCTCGGGTCGAAAATTCGACTTTTCTCTTGAAATTATAATTTACTCCATGGAAATTATAATTGTTTACTGGAAAAAAAATATATACAAAACTCAAAAACATTTAGTTGAAATAACCGAAGCCTCGTGTAATTCTAAACAAAATAATTATTGCGACGGAAATTGTCATGATTTCGTGGAAAGTTTCTTTATTGTCTACAACTAAATTGATTCAACATGACAAAACATCTCTTCGGCGGAATATATACTTTTTCGCTAAAACTTATTTTGTCTCTTAGTGCAGGGTGTAAAAGAGTTTAAAAATACCGTGTTTTTTCAGCGAGTAACTTCACTTTAACTCATTGACCAATCAGGATTGACGAGTAGTGGTTAGACAATTCCAATACATGTAGATATTCGCGATGTTAAGTGGACGTGAGGTGGCGCTGATGCTACGACATAAAACGTTCCGAATGAAATCAACAAAAGCGATGTTAGGAGAAGCTTCGCATTGATACACACAATTGAGGCTGTCTCTGATTCGATTAATTATGCTCTTCAATAATAAATGGATTTTTACTCCATTAATCCCCTTATGACCTGAAAGTGTGACTGAAAATTTTCAATTGGAAAATTTTGTGTCAGTCATCTTGTAAGCTTCAGCGCCGCCACTCGTCAATTTAACATCGCGAATAAAACCAATTCACAAAACGTTGATCTTTTATTGATAAGATTTTTTTCGTGCGTAATAACATGCTTGAATTCGAGAAAAGGGAAATGAATTCGTCATGTAGTTGGAAGAACATTTCTTTTATATTCTTCTCCATAGTTTTTGAATATTGGTTTTCTACATTTACAATAATTCGAACTTTATCAAGGATAATAGTTCGGCGCGTACTTGACTTTCGGTTTATCTACTGGCCTGAACTTCTTCGGTATGTATCTTAATCGATGTTCATCAATTCTCCGCAGAAATGGATTAACGCCATAGTCCCAGGGGGTGCGACGTTTATCAAGTGGTCTGGTTTTAAACAGGTGTTTGTAGATCCACTGCCAGTGATACAGCTCAGGTTGCAATCTATCAAAGAAGGAAATGAGATGTTGATTTGAGTGCATGAAATTTATCGTTTAGTGAAAATTTTCGAAGGGCTGACGTCTATATGATACTTTGTTTAATCCCAAAGGAAGAGATGTATCTTCATGGAGAACGTCGTGGTCAAGTAAAATAAGAACTACATGAAGAATTTCTTTTCAAAAAATGCAATCATCCCCTCAATTTGAAGATATTTCCGACAACAGAAATCTACAAGTAGAATCTACTGATGAAACTGAGGAAACATTCCATTTTTTAGATATTTGAGTGACTAATGAAATTTGAACAAGAATTGCAATTCCAGTTTTGAGGCTTTCACGGCCATGATTATTGATGATGTGATTTACCGCATTCAAAAATCACTTCATTCAAAACCTAAAATGATTCATATTAATCGGATTACACCCAAAAAAAAGTCGGACTGAATCAGACCGAAAAATCGGTCTGAATCAAGTCGGATTGAATCATGCCGGGAATCGACTTGTTTCATGTCGAATTGACGACATGAATCAAGTCAAACTCGGCCAGATGCAAACCAGAATATCGGTCTGATTCAAGTCGATTTTTCAACGTGATTCAGACCGAATTTTCGGTTTGATTGAAGCCGATTTTTCGTTTTGATGCAAACCGATTTGTCTCTAAATTCTCGATGTACATTGTCCATGAGGTCCCCTTGGGAAGCCTACTACACAGGGGGGGGGTACATCAAGAATTCAGTACATCCCCCCCCTTTCCCGTAGTCAACATAGCTTGGGGGGCCGATTTTTTTTATTGAATTTGATGTGAATTTTTCATATCTCCAAAACTAAGGAAGATGGCGAATTTTTACTGAAAAATTTGGGTGCGAAGGGGTGGTGGTGGGGAGGGTTGTATTGAATTCTCGATGTATAGTCTGAATATGTATTTAATCTGAAAATTTTCTAAAATTAAGAAAAATTCACACAAAGAAAAAAAGTGGATTAGCTTTGGAAACTAATTTCAAGATTTTAGAAACCCCTATTTTTACACTTTGTCCTTGGTGGGATCATAAAAATTAACCAATTTGGGGATTGTTTTCAAGAACTAATATTTTCTAAAACCAATGCTGAATTTTTCTGAATTTTAGAAAATTTTCAGATTGAACTAAAAAATTGCGGCTGAGGTATTTAAAAGGCGTAAGTGCCCCATACATAGGAAGGTGTGTCCAAATATCGGGAATTTCAGATTTCCCGTAGTCTGTTAGATATTTTTGAAAAACTCACCGACTCAATTTATTAGGTTGTAAATTCTCAATACACCCCCCCTCTCCCCACCGCAAAAATTTTCGTCAAAATTCGCTATCTCCCATAGTTTCGAAGATATTTTTGAAAAACCCCAACGATAACTCACCCTTTCATAAAACACCCCTGCACAACCTGATGATTTTTTTGGTATTTTACATTTACTCATCCGTAATAGGTTTGAATAAAGCGATAGAAATGTGATGGGTTTCTATCTTGTTGTATAATTAAAGTAGATATGAATTATTGAATCAACATTCCAATGCACCGAAAAAAGAAAGAAACAAACTAATTGTGTTCCATGAAAAAAAAAACGTTCATGAGTTTGAATTAATTATTAATTGATTGAAAATTAGAATGGTATGCGTCTGTTGCTGTTGATTGATCGATTCAATAGTCCATATGTAATTGTCAAATTTTTGAGTTTTGCGAGTTTTTGACAAAAAATTTGCGTTTCAGCATGAGTCCATTTTTTTCAGATTTTCAATAAGTATTTCCGACGAAAATTTTTCGTTCTTCCGATTGAACATGGTGCCAATTAGCTCAAATCATCGGAACTGCTTTAAAATCGCTAAAAAACTAGAAAATTGTACGGTGTACCCCCTCCCTTCCCCAACCTCGACTGGACACTTTTTCATTTCTTTACCCAAAGTGACTATTTTTACGAAATATATTAGAAAATTGGACTGAGACTCAGATTCATTCTATCCAAAAGGTTTTTTTTCAAATTTCTTTTTTTTCAATTTTTCCCAAATTTTCATTTTTTTTGTTTTTATTTCAATATTGATTATTGATCAACCATTTATGGACCACAATGATTAAGAAAAATTATGAAATTAAGGAAAAAAGCTATTTTAAGCGCAAAACACGATGTTTTTCGGCAAATTACGCACAAGAAAAACGTAAAATCGTTCGTTACGTTCAGATGGTGATTTATGATTTATTAAACGTAAATTACGATTTCATAAACGTAGTCTATCTTTTGATAAACATAAAAAACACTTTGTTTAAGCGTAATTAACGTTTAGGTTTTTCTGTGTGTACACTGTTAGAAAAAAAATGAAATTTCATCGACAATTGACTAGGAATTTTTAGAGCAGTGACACTGAATGCGATTTGGGAGAAAAAATCATGCAATTCCAGGTTTCACTGAAAATTCAGTAAAATCCCAGAATTTTAAGCAGCACAAATACGAGAATTCCTTAATTTATTTGAATTTCCAATCTAATACGAATATTCAGTGCCAAACTATATTATGAGGCTGAAACTGGCGTACGATTCTGGCGAACGATATGCACAACTTTTGGAGCGGACTGTACCGCCAACGCTCCAAGGGGACCGCGGGCAGGGGTCGGTTTTTTACCCCTAATTTTCTTTAACAATTCGAGAAAGCTATAAAATATACCTGTCGAACCCTCACCCCTCCGTATAGATGCATTTTTTTATTTAAAAATACAATTGGTGGATCTGTATTAAAAATTTCCAAAATTGGGATTTGCGAGGGGGTGGGAGGTGGAGACATGTGAACGGAGGGTTGAAAAATTTAACCAACAAGGGGAGGGGGTTCTAGAGTGTACCCAAGCCACCCCCATCCCTCCGTTTTCATGCGTTGATTATATAAAAAAATGAAATTGTTGGTGCAGAAGTAAAAATCGCAAAAAATAAGGTTCACGAGGGGGTGGGAAGGGAAAGCATGAGAACGAAGGGTTGAAAAATTTACCCGACGGGGGGGGGGGGGGTTCTAGAATGGATCCAAACCACCCCCACCCCCACGTTTTTATGCGTTGATTGAATAAAAAAATAAAATTGTTGAATAAATCATAAAAATCGGGGAAAAATAAAGTTCACGAGAGGATGGTAGGGGGAGGCATGAGAACGGAGGGTTGAAAAATTCACCCAACAAGAGGAGGGGGTTCTAGAGTGTATCCAACCCACCCCCACCCCTGCGTTTGCATGCGTTGATGAAATAAAAAATGAAATTGTTGAATAAAAAAATAAAAACCGGGGAAAAATAAAGTCCACCAGGGGGTGGGAGGGGGAGGCATGAGAACGGAGGGTTGAAAAATTTACCCAACAAGGGGAGGGGGTTCTAGAGTGTATCCAAGCCACCCGCACTCCTCCGTTTTCATGCGTTGATGAAATAAAAAATGAAATTGTTGGTGCAAATGTAAAAATCGAAAAAAATTAAAGTTCACGAGGGGGGCAGGGGGAGGCATAACAACGGAGGGTTGAAAAATTCACCCGACAAGGGGAAGGGGTTCTAGAATGGATCAAAAAAAATAAAATAATAAAAATCGTGAACAATAAATATCCAGATGAAGTGAGGGGGAGGCGTGATACCGGAGGGCTAAAAAAAATTTACCGATAAGAGGAGGGAGTTCGAAAGTTTATCTGAGCCATTTCAACCATTCCGTTTTCATGCGTCAATCTAATCAAAATTGGTACTCAATTTTGAGTGAGTTAAAAATCCCATCAACTTTAGTCAATGGATAATTGAAGGCCAACTGCAAACAAAAAAAAATGTTCGACATTCTCGAATCCTCTTTGCCATATGTAAAAAGGAGAACCGTTGAAATCTTCGGTCTTACACCAAGTTATTTTGTCTGGAGATGCAATATTTGTTCGTAAACATCCAGCATAATATACTTCGATTGTACAAGTTTTCGAGAACTTAGGAATTTCACTGTTACCTTTTCGCAGGTACATTCTGGAATCGGCCGAAGTTGACCTGTAAACGTCTTTATGACCAAAAATGTATGTGAGAATTCTGGGCAATAGAGAAAATTTCTTGGTTTTTTGGAAAAGTTCAAGTGACTGTTTTTCCTTCTCAACCGAAGAAGAATCTAGAAAATCATTCAGTTATTAAGAAATTACCCAGGTAGTTTTGAAACATGAATGAAAATTTATCAAAGATTCGAAATTATTGATTGATTTTTATTTATTATTCATTTTTAATATTGACTGAATTTTTCTCTCTGTATCATCTATTTGCATAATACATCCATAAATTTCGAGTGTGTAAAATTCAATAGATTAGACATTTCAATGAAAAAAAAAAGCTTTCTACATGTGAATGAGGTGATCGATCAACGCGCACGAGAGCGTGCGCCTCGTTCAATAGGGGTAACACTCGACTGGTTGAAACTAATACAGAATAGATTGAAGAGGATAGAAGAAGCATAAAATAACAAACTTTCATAGATTAATTGATATATTATTATGACAAACAAAATGCTCAATTGGGTTAGGACGCATCTATCAAATTTTTCAATAGTCCACAAAATTCCGAAGTCGAACCGTAAGGTATGTTTTGTGCTTTTTTTATATTTATACGCCTCTCCTCGTTACTCTTAATGAATTCATCGCAATACACCAATTCGTTAAAGGCACTCACTCTTTTTTTTTTCATTCTCCCTCAATGGGAATTCCATAATGAATCTGGCCAGTCCTCGTCGAGCGATATTGAGTTATAAATCATTGAAAATTACATTGGACTGACTTGCAATCATATATCCCCAAAGACATATGTGAACCGCATAATTATTATCATTCTCATCTGTAATCAGTTGCTGGCGGGGAATGTATAGAGTCTATTGTTCAGTTTGTCTTCTAGTCGTTTGCAAATCACCTAGTTTGAGTCTACTCATGAATTCAGATAGTCTTTCGATCAATCGAGGTGGGGGGTTATCATGCATCGAGTCAAAGTACACCAAAGTTTTCAGTTTG